ATGCATACTTCGTTGCATGGTTTCAACGCTTGCTTGACGACGTCGCTGCTCTGCAGAAATCCAACGCGATCATCGTGTTAGACAACGCCAAGTACAACCAGGGTCTACCGGACGACACCCCTTCAGGATCGTGGATGAAGGCACGAATGACGCAATCGTGCTCCGCCTACGGCATCGAATTGGACGTCAAAGAATACCGATCAACTTTGTGGGCCAAGTTAAAAGCCCACATCGAAGCCAACATCGTACCTGTCATCGTGCAGATGGCCATGGGTTGTGGCCATCACGTCGTTTTCACGCCACCGTATCACAGTGACTTGCAACCTATCGAAATGATTTGGTCCTACGTCAAGGGCGCTGTTGGGCGACTGTACGATACCACGATGTTCTCTGATGCGTGAGTGGCTTGATCATGAATTTGATCGCCTACCGAGCAGTGTGATTTTCGACTGCATTGACCATACAGATCGGAAAGTGGTGGAAATGGCCGCGTACCTGGACTCCGTCGACGAAGCAGACGGTGCGGTTGGAATTCAATTCTCCTCAGACAGCTAAATTGAAAGTGATGGCGACAGCAGCGACGAATGCACCTTAGGAGACTACGAAGGTGATGAGTAATTCCTCTAACAGTCAATACTTTTCGAAATGAATAATATTTACTGCAAAAGCACCGAAGAGGTTGTGATATCTGGAATTTAATGAATTATCCGGAAGGTCGGTCAATGCGTTCGACCACTGTTAACTGGGTAACGGCGTTAAGCGCGCTTCGGAAGGACGGAACTTGGCATTTCAATGTTTGAATTGAGAGCGTCTCAAATAATCCAATCAGAAACATCCATATCTATTTAGTATTTGTCCAATCGTGGACTGACATTGAGTCTGAACCAATCAGAGATCACGAAAGACGCTTAAGCATATTTACCCAATCATGGACTAAGAAGCAATTTTTCTTCTGGTTTAGTGAGGGAAATTAACTCATCCCACTGCAAATTTATCGATGGTACAACGCTTGCGAATATTTTCTCGGTTCATTGTAGTGATGGACATGGGTGACTTGGTGGATACAGGTACTAGTAACGACGAGAAAATGTCCCCAGTGGTAATTCATCATATTTTGCAATTTGAATATAGTCGCACTATTTAACTGCAAGAAGAAATTGATCTAGTATTAGCCAAAGGGTGACAAATACTCGTACGACCTTGTACATGATATCATACATGATTATCTTGGATATACTATCCGCATTAACCCGCTCATTTTATCCTCGTTGTAGCAATATGTTGCAATCGTACAATATAATCATGTTACGTCATGCAAACTGTCCTACGTTGGAAGATTCAATACTGCAACAAGTTTACAAACAGTACGAAAAGTAGCTCACGCCGTTGAGCTCCCGCTTGAAGCTGGTGTGGTACAGGGATGATTCCATAACGTCGATCTACGTCATGCCGTAAAGTCAGTGTGCATTGGAACTTCATCGGCATGTCCGTTGTGGTGTCTCTTGATGGGCCTTACCTACACGTGGTCACAATAACCTATTGTTCACTGACGCTCAACATATTTTGTCTTCCACAAGTAGTCATGCATGTTGAAAACATATACCAGGAACTCAGAGGCAATTAGGAAGTATCCTTGATACAGGCAAAATATTTGTTTTGACAATTTATGTGTCTGTGGCGTCTCACGATATGATGTCGTCTGAATTGTCTAGCCATTTGGAAAACATTGCCCAATAATTGGGCATGTGTTATCCTACCTTTGGACGTTGGTGTCACGGAACCATTAAAGAGTAACCTTCGTTACAAGTGGCTTCACGAAAAGCCGGTTTTGTCTGCAGCCAAAACACTCATGGCTATGGTTAAGCGCACTATTGAAGCCTGGGAGGACATGCCACGTAAAATCGTCACTCCCTTATTCGAAGATGCGTTGCCAGGGACACCCCTGTGCAGGTTCACCCCTGTTTGTCACTTGAAAATATACAGCATTTTCAAGATATTTGCAGTTTTCAGAAATATTATAGTATTTGTTGCTCATCGTCGTGGTCGTTGCGGAGCATTAAATGATGTATTTTCTACCAATAATCGTGGATAAGACTTAATTCAAACCAGCTTGAATAATAATACTCTCAATTCTCGTTAAGAGTAATTTTTTTCCCAATATAAATTTCAAGATATTTCTCTAGTACCACTGAGGACATTTTTCCTTCGCTCACTGTACAGCCATCAACATTCCCGTAATATCAGGGGGAACTTCAAACCCGGCAGGCAAGCGCAAGGCGTACGAGGCCACCACCGATGGTGAGGAGGGTAAAGTTCTACTCGTTGACTTGACCGGCGAAGAAGAAGCGGATTGGCCTGAGTCGTACAACGCCGTGTAGGCGGCCTCGAGTTGGATGATACGACCCGAAGGTCAAGCGGAACTCGAGCGGATCGCGGCTCAAGGAATGCTAGAAGGTGCTGACCAAACGTTGGGTTCATTGGACCGATGAACAATTGCTGCGTGAACGACGTGATATGCGAACAGAAGGGCGAGAAGGAGGAAGGGCAGCGTCGATTGCTTGAAGCTGATACTACAGCTCAAGCGCAAAGCGTGGCAATAGCAGGGCAGATTTGTGGAGGAGAACGAAGTCGCCGATAGAAAATAGGATAGTTCTCAAGATCGTCCAACGGTGGAAATATTCCTCGCGATCGTCCAAGTTAAACGGTCGTGAGGTATTTTTATTCCAAAACGGCCACCGCGGCATGATTGACTAAAAGACTTATGAGCTTAAAAACCTTGGATGTAAGTCGCAGGTGGGTTTTAGTCCCCTTCCATCCCAGAATTTCAGTGCCCCCAGCAACCGACCACACCCGCCGTCCACAACGCCACAGCGAGCGCGACAGTCACCGAGCGGTATGACCCAGCGAATTCGATGTATACTCATGTACGTACATCCGGTCCATCATGCTAGGCAAGGAGCGTCCTCCAGCTCATGAGACTTTTAGCCAATCATGCTGCGGTGGACGATGTGGAATAGAAATGCCTCACGACCGTTCAACATGGACCCTCGTGAATGATATATCCACTCGTTGGACTTTTGAGAAATACCCTCGAAAATATCTCCGGGTTTGAGCTACCATGGCGGTTGGATTGGGTCGCTTGCCGTTGCTGAGCAAGCGCGAGGTCGTCCTTGATCTGTTGTATGACAGAATGCGATGGACAAGGAAGTCCAACTGGTCCTTGACGGAGCAAGCGGGGAGGTAGCAGGTTGCGGTGATCACTTCTATCGCCGGAGGAACGACAGGAAGCGACCCCCCTCTTAAACGGAGCTATCTAGAAGCTGAAGGAAGCGTGGATGATATACAAGGACGGCATAACGGGGAGAAAAGCACATGGAGGCCTGGATGAACGAATTGTACACAACGGCGTGGGGAAGAAGCATTGCCCACGAGGCGGAGGGCTGCGCCATCAAATACACACGCAAGATGTCTTCAAGTTCGCGCTTGGCGCGTTCAGTCTGACCGCCGGACTTGGGGTGGTCGTACGTAGACATGGCGAGGACAGTGCCATAGAGCTCAAACTGAGCCAACCAAAGTGAGGTGTACAGTTGGGGTCGCGGTTCGATACGATGGACCGCGGGAGGCCAAATCGACAAAAGACATGGTCGAAGAAACGGCGAGCGGCGTCGATGCCGCTGACGGACTACAGTACTGGAACGGCCACGATATATTTGGACGCCCTGTCGATATAAACTATGATACCCGCCCTGCCGATATAAACTATGATACCTGTCACGAGCGTCGCGTGGGCCAATCACAAATCCCTGCTGACAAATGACCTAAGGTCATCGGGAATCTGCAATGGGTGCAGAGGTGCCTTAGATGACGTCGTGATCCTGGTGCACAAACAAGCGCCGGAGCGGGAAACGTGGCGTACAGCAGCCTTGTATTGGCGAGGCCACCAGTTCGAACGGGATAACACAGCGTACACTCTGAATCAGCGAAAGTCGCCACCACCGGGTGAATCGTGGTACGCACGCAAAGGGAGGTGCGAAAGGCAGGATCCCCAGGGAAAACATCGCGCGGAGGCGTGTCCTGTGTAAGCTGTTAGCGGATCGCGAATAGAGTAGTTATGGAACAAGGACGGTGAGCGCCGAGGCTTTGAAGGCTCGAAGGCATCGCCTTCGAGACGACTACACGCGGTCGAGCAAACCGTGTCGATGGAGTAGGCAGTGCGGATGCGATGATCGAGATCAGAGTAGATGAAGCCAATGAAGGAAAAACCCAGTTACGAGGTGTAATCAGGACGCCGAGAGAGGGCGTCAACGAGGACGGTGTTCTTTGTCCGGTTTGTACGGAACCCAGAAGTTATATTCGGCGAAGAAGGATAACAAGCGAACCATGCGAGCTGACAAGTGGGGTGAGTTGACGAAGTCCGCAACGACGCGTGATATGTACAGTATAAACGATGAAGGGATCCGAGTCAATGAGGTAAACGCGGAACTTGGTGAGCGCGTACTTGATCGAGAGCGGGTGATCATGGTCGGGGTATGATCGCTCGGCTGCGTCTAGTTTGAAGCTTCAATACGATACGGAACGCTAGCGGCCATCTGCGTCAGGTTGGTTGCAACAAGCAACAACCGATGAAGTATTGGGAAGCGTCACAGACGATGCAGAACGGCTCGGAAAAGTCCTGAAACTAAAAAATGGGGGGCTCTTGAGACTGGCCTTGAGGGCGTTGAAGGCGGAATGACACTTGCTCGATCAAATCCAGGGGGCACCTTTGACGAACAACCAAATGAGGGGCTCGCGATGTCGGCAAAACCGTGAGAGGGAACTGGCTATGCGACGAAGGATTTGACTTTGTTGAGATCAGTCCGGCAACCGGGAATACCGAAGAGGTCTCGAAGGGCAGGGATTTCGTCGACCCCAAACAAATATTTGGACGGTTGGCATACAATCCATTCTCACGAAGGATGGTAAGGACCGCGCAAAGATGGCGACGGTGAACGTCGAATTCGGTCTCAGTTTCAGTCAGAACCACGACTGTGGATGTATATGTGGTCAAAGTATGACGGAGAAAAGTCGCGGAGATGGCGGAACTCGGCCGCCACCAAGCGATTGAATGGTGCAAGACCATTGGATTACCTTGGGATATCACGAGCCACTCCCAAAGCATCCAACTAGTTGTCGAGACGGCGGCCTTTGCACGTTACAAAGGCGCATGAAGATTTGATGTAACCATCTCGCCAGTCGATGGTGGAGAATATGGTGAATCGACCCATGCCGTCGACAATCACAACTTTGCGGGGTGGGTGTTTGCGCCAGAATGGTGGCAGCGTTGAGCTTATTTAAGGCGAGCATGATTCGCCACTCGCCGTTGGGTTTATTCACACAAAACGTCGGACTGCTGTGTGGTGACGTGCTCTCACGTTCGTGACCGGCTGCCCTGCGAGCTGCAAAGAACGCATCGCTCGCTTCTACTTAATCATGCGAAAGCGGCCATTGGCGAGTAACGCAGTACTTCGTGCAGTGCTCGAGGT